CTTTCCCACCATGATGGACACTACCGTCTCAAACCATGAGCCAAAATAAATCCTCCCACCCCACAGTGGTCAAGTGTTTGGTCACAGACACAGCAAAAGTGACAAACAGGAAAGGAAAGAAGAGCCAATGATGAGAATTTGTCTGGCGCTCTGGGAGAAGTATAGTGGATGCTTAATGAATTTGGTGACTGTTCTCTCCACATTACCCCTGATGCATTATATTAACCCACAAAGAGATGGTTCCACTCGTTAACTGTGGTTGGTGAGTACACAGAGATAATGAACCATTTTCTTGGCTATTTATCCAAAATTTAAGGCTTGGATTAGCTCGTTCATGTTTCTGGGACCAATGCCCCCCCCCCATCATATGGAGTGCCTATGTGTCTATTCTCAGCATCATCAAAGGAGAAGTAAGACTATAGGGGAGATAGCAGTGGACTGTAGAGTCAACCCTCAATTCAGTGACCAGTGGAAAGCAACTCTGAACCTCCTTACTTTGCCTACATAGGAGTTCAGCACATGACCTGGCACACAAGACAGTGCCGCTACCTCCTCCAACACAGCCGCAGAGTTTTTCCTCCAGTAACAATGTGTCTACTCCACCTGCATGCTTTGGACACCAGACACAGGCCTGCTGGTGGATTAGTAACAATGTATTTCTGTAGAAAATCATCTCTGGGAACACACGAGAGCATTGCACAGCAGAAGCCATGAGAAGGCAGTGAGGCTGTGACCAGCCCACACAGGGTCTCTGCAAGGCTTGTTCCCTGCTGAGATGGACTGCCCACCTTGGTCTGCAGAGAGATTGCTGTCAGCAGGATGTGGCTCTTCTCTTCCCCTCCGTGTGTCTGCCTCTCCTAGCAATGATTATGTATAAATCCTGGGAAACAGGGACAGCTTGAGAGTGGAGCCCTAGCCTCCACGGTGCCATGACAACCAGCTTCCCAGCGATCACCCCTAATAACAGGCCACTCACTCGCCATCTCTTCCACCTGGGCAGAGACTCCCTAGGGGGCTAGGGCTGCTCTTGCAACAGCTGCAAGCAGCTTCCTGTTGGGAACAAATTATCAGAGAGAGTCAGAGGGAGCAAAGAGAGCTCTTTCTGAGGGGGAGGGGAGTGGAGCAGATAGGCCTGGGTCTCCAACCTGTGATGTGTGGCAGGATTCCAAGGACTTGAGAACACTGCCATCATGATCCTGGAGCCCCTGGCACCCCATGCCTTAGGAAAGTACAGTTCTGCAGAGAGAAGTATAAAGCCCCCCGTGTGCCTCTGCCCCTCACTAGCCTTGCAGGAAGAGGGGTATAATGGGGTAAAAGACCAATGCGAGCCCTCGTAAAGCCAGGCCTGCCTGTTAGCAGATTTCTTCATTAGGCTCCTGTCGAGACCCCCACTGCCAACTCATCATCTTGTCTGGACTGGAGCCGCCTCCTATGGCTGCTGCCTGCTGGAGAGAATGTGCTCAAAAACCCCCTCAATCAATATCCTTCCAGAATGGCAGGTCTCAAAAAGGGACCAGACCTGCTTAGCTAATAAATGACTATTCTTCACAAAAGGACAACAAACAGGCCCACAGTTAATGAACTTCTCTGTGGATGCTAGCCCAAATGCAGGCTTTAGATTGACAGGCCAGTGCTAAGCCACTCACAGGGTCTTGTTCCCCTTCTCTTTAGATCATAGATTCAAACATAGGCTCCTACACAAGGAGGTTCCACCTTCAGAGCTAATGAGCCCTTACAATGTGTGCACTCAGGGACCACAGGGTCCTGTGGGACCCAGTCTCTCCATCCTGTTTGCTCAGCCATGGAGTAGATGATTCTGCCTCTGTGCTGTGCCAGGCAGGTGATGGGTGTTGTTGCTATCACCAATGCTTTCTTTCTGTGATGGCCGTTCTCTGAACTGGGACTTCCTAACTCCTTGTGCATCTAAAATGAATACAGACTTTTGAAAATAATAGGAAGAGGGGCTGGAAAGTGACTGAGTCATACAGTGTTTGATGTGCAAACATGAGGACCTGACTCCAGCGCCTACACAAAAGGCTGGTCACAATGCCACATGCTTGTAATCCCAACACTGGGGATCCTGGGAGTTTATTGGACAGCCAGTGAGCCAGGGTCCAAACAGGCAAGCGCTAGGTTCTGTGAAGAGACCCTGTCTCAATATATAAGGTGGAGAATGATAATGACACCTGACACTGACCTCTGTCCTCCACACACTGAACAAACCCGTGCAACACACACACAAGTTTGAAGTTGAGCCAAGTTTACCAGCAAGTAGGGAAGGAGACAACACAGGTACTTGGATGGCCCTGAAGGTTGAATCTCAAGTTTGAGAAACAGGAGAGCCAAGTCAGGTGGGAAAAGGACAAGGAGCAAGTGAGATCATGTGCACAATGCTACATAAACATCCATAACACCTTTATAGCCTGTCCATCATGGGTCACAGGCTATAGCCAGTGTGGCTCACAGGTGACATATTTGATCACACTCTTGATTTTTTTTAAACTTAGTCACTAACATTAAAAACAGTCAGAATTTCCCCCAGAAAAGTGTAGACATCTCAGATGATACGCACTGACTATGTGGGAGCCACACTCCTCCTGCCTGCAGCAATCAACTAAGCCGAGCAGAAATTGCCACTTATGTGGGGTGTAGACAATCAAATCAAGCAGCCCCATTGTCTCGGCTGCTTGTG